CACACACACGGCGGACCGATGGCACAGCCATAGCCTTGCTTGCACCCATCATGTGAAGAGACTCGCAAACCGGACGGTGGGCTGTACGTCATCTACTGCTGTAGTGCACCCCCTCGCCAAGAAGGGGATACGTATACGCTTTCACGTCCGCTTCGACGCCCCCCCCCCCCCCCCAACATTTTCTTGAAACGTGGGCCCCGGACTCCCCCCGTCCAACCCACACCCACTACCAACTATAATAAACGGGGGGGAGAAACAATCAATCCTGGGCGGGCCTTTCCAACTCCCCAGAGGAACAACCCCCACCCACCACGGAAGCCCCCCCAAGAAACTTTTACGAGCCGGGGTGGCGTGGCGTGACGTGGCGTTTCCCACCGAGCGGGGCATGATCATGCCTTCTTCCTTCTTGCTTGCTCCTCCGCCCACTTCCCGGTGCGGGTTCCAGTAGAGCACCACCTGCAGCGCCAGGACTCCGTTCAGGAAGGACGAAAGCCCGTGCATCCACAGCAGACCCAGGTCCCACCCGACCTGTTGGTTGGATCATGGCGCCGTTCGTGTCGAGACCAAAGGACACAGGCAGGGTGGACGCGCGATTCATTATTCGAGCGAAGCGAGATTACTACCCTCGCCTGAGGTCTCGCCGCAACATAGGGCTCCATCCAGAAAAAAAAGCCTGTACAGTTTGTTCGCTCTATCTAGGTTTTTAGACTGCATGACTTGATTTAAGACTACAAGGGGTCAGCATACCGTCCCCCTTTTTTTCTTCGGAGCACACAGAGGACTGCACTCTGTACAACAGAGAACACACGCACTGCGGGCGACACCACACAGCAGACAACACAAGCACAGCAGACAGCTTACGCATAACGGGCGACACACACGCGAAGCGGGCGACACCATCTGGGCTCGATGCCGCTGGACTCTCTGTGGTGTGAGGCTGTTGCTGTTGACCGACGCGTTCAGCTTCCAGCAACATGATGAGCACAGCACAACATTAGGTCTCGAAACCTAGGACGCCGATCGCCATCGCACCACTTCGACCGTGTGCTCCATTGTGGTTTCTCTGGACGTGACAGTTGTGTTGGGCATGGGTGCTGTATGTGGCGAGAGCATCGTGGCGTGGTTTGGCACTTTCGCCTGGCGATGCCGACTGCTGTGTGTGCCCGGCCGGGCCAAAAAAAAGAAAATCGATCGGATTCCACGCCGCCATGAAGGTCTTCCCACACACAGCACCCATGCCCAACACAATTGTCACGCCCCTAGATATCGCAATGGAGCACACGCTCGAAGTGGTGCCATGACGATTGGTGCGCTAGGTGACGAGAACTGACATGTGTGTCTTGCTGTTTCGCTG